GAATGTTAATGATATGTAGCTGCAGTTACTCAACAACCACGTAGAAAACTAAAGTATAAACTACATAAAAAACTAAAGTATAAATTGCATAGCACCATCAGTATACTTACTATACTCTACACTAAGCTGAGTTACTAACAGCAAGTAATACATTACAATTCTACGTCGTAAAAATTATATAATATGCTTCCATCTAAACTTTATTCTATTGTATCACACGAGCATATACCGTACTATATACTGCCAACATTAAATTATATACTGTATTGCTGTAAACCAACCTATACCTTATACATTTAATATAACACTATGTATTATTCTACCCACCCTAATGTGTGTCGAAATGGTTTATTACGTCCTTCCAATGATTGCTAAGCCAGAATCCATCTTCTCGGTTAAAATTGTCTCTGTGTTTGTATATGTGGATCGCCTCATGAACGAATCTCTCATGATAGCCAGATGGCTTGCAGAGAAACTCTGTCTTGGAGAAGTCAATATCATGTGAGCCCACTGAGTTGTAACAGTTATCTGCCAAGGCTGAGGTGTTTGTCCTACCGTGTTTCAGGTCAGCTTTATGTTCACGGATGCGGTCCGAGACATGTCGTTTGGTTTCCCCAATGTAACTGCTACCACAGAGGCAACTTAGTTTGTAGATGCCAGGGTACTGTATGTCTGGAACCACATCTTTTACAGACGGTACCAGATCACGGATTTTATGTACTGTGTTGAATCGGACCTGGATCTTGTGTTTAATCAGGATTTTGGAGATCTTTTTTGTGACCCCAGCAATGTAGGGTAAGGTGATGGTCTTGAAAGGCTCCTCAACAGGATCCTTCTTGATGGTTGGAGTGATGGCTTTGCGGATTGTGTAGTCGGAGTAACCATTAGCCTTAAGAGCTTGGCGTACGTGTTTGAGTTCACTGGAAATGTGTTCATGGTCGGAGATGCATTGGGCTCTATGATATAGAGTCTTGATGAGGGAATTCTTCTGGGATGGATGGTGGTGGAAATCCGGTTTTAGATAAGCATCCGTGTGGGTGGCTTTCCTGTAGACAGAGTGGCTCATTGAACCATCAGGTCTCCTTTTGATTAGGACATCCAAAAAGGGTAGCTTGCCATCATTTTCGACTTCCATGGTGAATCTGATGGCTGGGTGTATGGAATTGATGTGGTCGAGAAATTGGTCTAGAGCAGGCCGGCCATGTGGCCAGATGACAAAAGTGTCGTCTGCGTACCCTCTTCCATAAGGTCGGGCGTAGAGTGGCAGTCTGGATGGCGTCCGTCTCAAATTTCTCCATGAAGATGTTGGCTACAACCGGAGATAGGGGGGAGCCCATTGGGGTGCCCTCAATTTGCTTGTAGAAGGTTCCATTCCAGGTGAAGTATGTATTGGTTAAGCAGTGTCTCACCAGGGGGGGTACCCCAGCATTCAGTCCTTGATGAACCAAGTCTTCAATGATTGCGATGGTGTCAGGCACAGGCACCTTGGTGAACAAGGAAACCACATCAAAACTGACAAGCAGGTCGTCTGGGGACAGGGCAATCCCCTTGATTGTCGATACCAGGTCAGTAGAGTTTAGTACTGCAGAGGTGGTTTTTCCAGTGAAAGGCCGTAGGATTTCGGACAAAAAACGAGCCAGTTTGTAAGTGGGGGAGTTGATAGTAGAGACAATGGGACGAAGAGGTGTATCTTCTTTATGTATCTTTGGCAAGCCGTACAATCTTGGTGGCCTGGCTGCAGAAGGTTTCAACGAGAACTGTTTGGTCTGATCAATTAATGCGGTTGAAGCAGAAATGATGTTGTTGGTTTTGGAGACGAGGCTGTTGGTGGGGTCTCTTTTTATTTTTGTATAGCTGCCATCGTTTAGTAGTTCTTGAATTTTGTTGTTGTATTCTATTTTGTCCATGATGACAGTGGCATTGCCTTTGTCGGCTGAGAGGATGACAATGTCATCCCTCTTTTTTAATTGAGCTAATTCAAAACGCTCATCTTTGCTGATGTTGCTAGCAAAGATGAGCGTTTTGAATTAGCTCAATTAAAAAAGAGGGATGACATTGTCATCCTCTCAGCCGACAAAGGCAATGCCACTGTCATCATGGACAAAATAGAATACAACAACAAAATTCAAGAACTACTAAACGATGGCAGCTATACAAAAATAAAAAGAGACCCCACCAACAGCCTCGTCTCCAAAACCAACAACATCATTTCTGCTTCAACCGCATTAATTGATCAGACCAAACAGTTCTCGTTGAAACCTTCTGCAGCCAGGCCACCAAGATTGTACGGCTTGCCAAAGATACATAAAGAAGATACACCTCTTCGTCCCATTGTCTCTACTATCAACTCCCCCACTTACAAACTGGCTCGTTTTTTGTCCGAAATCCTACGGCCTTTCACTGGAAAAACCACCTCTGCAGTACTAAACTCTACTGACCTGGTATCGACAATCAAGGGGATTGCCCTGTCCCCAGACGACCTGCTTGTCAGTTTTGATGTGGTTTCCTTGTTCACCAAGGTGCCTGTGCCTGACACCATCGCAATCATTGAAGACTTGGTTCATCAAGGACTGAATGCTGGGGTACCCCCCCTGGTGAGACACTGCTTAACCAATACATACTTCACCTGGAATGGAACCTTCTACAAGCAAATTGAGGGCACCCCAATGGGCTCCCCCCTATCTCCGGTTGTAGCCAACATCTTCATGGAGAAATTTGAGACGGACGCCATCCAGACTGCCACTCTACGCCCGACCTTATGGAAGAGGTACGTAGACGACACTTTTGTCATCTGGCCACATGGCCGGCCTGCTCTAGACCAATTTCTCGACCACATCAATTCCATACACCCAGCCATCAGATTCACCATGGAAGTCGAAAATGATGGCAAGCTACCCTTTTTGGATGTCCTAATCAAAAGGAGACCTGATGGTTCAATGAGCCACTCTGTCTACAGGAAAGCCACCCACACGGATGCTTATCTAAAACCGGATTCCCACCACCATCCATCCCAGAAGAATTCCCTCATCAAGACTCTATATCATAGAGCCCAATGCATCTCCGACCATGAACACATTTCCAGTGAACTCAAACACGTACGCCAAGCTCTTAAGGCTAATGGTTACTCCGACTACACAATCCGCAAAGCCATCACTCCAACCATCAAGAAGGATCCTGTTGAGGAGCCTTTCAAGACCATCACCTTACCCTACATTGCTGGGGTCACAAAAAAGATCTCCAAAATCCTGATTAAACACAAGATCCAGGTCCGATTCAACACAGTACATAAAATCCGTGATCTGGTACCGTCTGTAAAAGATGTGGTTCCAGACATACAGTACCCTGGCGTCTACAAACTAAGTTGCCTCTGTGGTAGCAGTTACATTGGGGAAACCAAACGACATGTCTCGGACCGCATCCGTGAACATAAAGCTGACCTGAAACACGGTAGGACAAACACCTCAGCCGTGGCAGATCACTGTTACAACTCAGTGGGCTCACATGATATTGACTTCTCCAAGACAGAGGTTCTCTGCAAGCCATCTGGCTATCATGAGAGATTCGTTCATGAGGCGATCCACATATACAAACACAGAGACAATTTTAACCGAGAAGATGGATTCTGGCTTAGCAATCATTGGAAGGACGTAATAAACCATTTCGACACACATTAGGGTGGGTAGAATAATACATAGTGTTATATTAAATGTATAAGGTATAGGTTGGTTTACAGCAATACAGTATATAATTTAATGTTGGCAGTATATAGTACGGTATATGCTCGTGTGATACAATAGAATAAAGTTTAGATGGAAGCATATTATATAATTTTTACGACGTAGAATTGTAATGTATTACTTGCTGTTAGTAACTCAGCTTAGTGTAGAGTATAGTAAGTATACTGATGGTGCTATGCAATTTATACTTTAGTTTTTTATGTAGTTTATACTTTAGTTTTCTACGTGGTTGTTGAGTAACTGCAGCTACATATCATTATCATTCCTTTCCTTTGTTACTGCTAATCCCTGCACCCCCCCTTGGTGCTGTTGATCCTGCATAATGCATGGGCATAATATGACTTTGAAACCCCCCCGCCCACCTCCTACGCATTTTCCATGTATATGCTAAATTCCTCTTCATATGCACATTCTTTTGTTAAGGCACTCTTTCTTCCACCTCCAACGCAGCTTATATATAAGCTCCTAGCTTGGCATTGTCTCATTCTTCACCTGAGGACGGCTGCTTGCGTTGTGGCCGAAACGTCGTGAGAATTGTTTTATTATGTTTTATTTTTATTATTTTATTACTTCTCTTCTACGTGACTTTACCGAAAAAACCAAGAAGATAATATGGTATTTGTATTTCTAAATTAAACTCTGCATACCATAGTGTAAAGCTGCTGCATACTAGGCAGGTTTTTACTCCAAACGTTCATCACCAACTTGACGTAGATCAACGGCTTAAAAATATCCAAGAGGACTGGCTCATGCACGTTTAACATCAATATTTCAAAGCATGAACCCGCTGCATTTAAGTGACACCACTCTCTTACATTAGCTCAGGATGTGATGCTTTCCACGTACCCTTCAAGCTTGCCAACGATTTCGTTGCAGTAAATTAAACTATTTCCATTTTACCAGGTAAGACCCACTGAGCTATAGAGCTTTCTTTCAGAAGTGGCCTGGCAACCAATGATAGCTCAACGAAGTGGCTCATCATGTGGAAATGTATAGCAGTCAAATACTCTACGCATGTGGAGGAAAAAAACGGACTCGGAAAGAAATCCACGCGACTTAGGGGAGAACATGCAAACTCCAAATATACAGCAGGCGTCAGGGTTGGGATCGAACCCACGACCTCCTGTATACCCGGCGAGGTAGTTAACATCTCGCCACTGCGGCGCGCATCATCCTCGGCAAGCATGTGCGTACGTACGTACACGATAAGAGCAACTCGCGCGGGGCCGCTCTGAGGAGCGTGGAACTCGCCGCACGCCTCACCTGAGTCCTGCTCCCCTCGGCCGTCCCGTCTGTGGCCGCGTCAGCGGAGGCCTCGTCCTCGTCCTGCGACGAGAAGGCGGTGCTCTCCGAGAGGCGGGCGCTGTCGAAGGACGACACGCACGTGGTGGTGCAGCTGTCCAGGGAGGACACGCGCGTAGCGGAGCACGCCGGACACGGCGCATCGCCCCGGTTCCCGACTCCCTCCGGCGTTCCGGCCTCCCGCCTCCACGTCCGACGCGGCCGCCTCCGCGAGGGGACTCCCCGCCCCACCCGCTTCGTGCTCCTCGGGGGCCTCCTCCTCTCGGGAGCCGCCCCCGTCCGAGACCACGCGGCCCGGGCTCGGTTCCGCTACGCTCTCGGTTCCCAACACGTTGCCGACGGCGACGTCCGGATCGGACCGTCCCGTCCAACGCCACCACGGCGGAGCCTCTCCGCTCCTCGGCGCCGTCTCCGCTCCCGAGCCTCTCCGCGGCGCTCCGCTCGGCTCCGGCGGGGCACTCCGGTCTCGCCTCGTCCCAATCCGGGCTTCGCTCGGGCCGCCGCACCCCAATAGGGCCCACTTCCTCGTCGTCGGCACCCGGCGCGGTCCTGTCGTCTTCCAACATTCGTTCCGCGCCATCGGCCCCTTCCGATTCCGGGGACCCGTCGCGGACGCCGCCATTGCCGTCGTCCGGCCTGGCACCATCTCCAACCGCGGCCGCGTGCCGGTCCCGCCGGTCACCGTCGCCGCCGTCGTCGCCGCCGCCGCTCTCGTCGTCGCCGTCGTCGCCGCCCGTGAGCCGCGTGGACGGCAGGCTGTAGAGCAGGCGGTGCAGCGCCACGTAGTGGGTGCGCGGGGTGGTCGGCTGGCGCGTCTCCAGCACCGAGGCCTCCACGCTCTCCAGCTCCGACACGACCAGCGACAAGGGCCGCATCTCCGCCGCGGGCCGAGCCTCCCCCAACGGGGAGAGCGACGAGCGGGCCCGCGCCCCCGCGTCCCCGGTCCGGTTCGACAGACCCTCGGGGAAGCCCGCCTCGCTCCTCACCAGATGGGGCACCCTCTGCTCGCCGGGGTGCGCACCGGGACTCTCGCAGTCCGAGTCGATGTAGAGGATCGTGTTCAGCCTGCTGTTTGTGGGGAAACTGCTGCTGAGGGCCACGGCGGGCGTCACGCGGTGGCCCTGGCGCTGAGCGACGGCCGCTGCCTGCCCCTCCACCAAGGAGTCCAGGTAGTCGTTGAGGGAGCCGTGCCTGTTGGCGGCCGCGGCGGCGGCGGCCGACGCGGCGGCCGCTGCGGCCACGTCCGCCTCCTCCGAGGCCCCTTCGCCGGCCCACGCGGCCACGCCGGCGTCCTCGGCGAACACGTCGTCGTGCGGGCGCGCTTCCTCCAGCCCCCTCTGCGTGGCGCCGTTAGCGTAGGACCTCTGGGTGGCTCCCAGGGTGCCGCCGCTCGTCTGGGTCTGCTCTTCGTCGTCCGAGGGGCTGGTCACGTCGCCGTTCGTGGCCGACACGCCGATGTAAGCCCCCGCCGAGTCGGGGGATGCATCTGCAAGGCACGGGGAATCGACTGAAGAATTGAGCGGTTAATTTTTTGGGTTTGTTTTATTTACATTAATTAGCAGGGGTATATGGCCTCTTTTGGGTTTTGATGGGTTGGTTGAATTGATGGGCGGAGTTGTTGTTGTTGTTGTTCAAGAATAGCTCGATAACTAAAAGCGCCGCTGTCATTGGAGTGGAAGATTGAATACGTAACATGAAAACTTCTCCGTTAAGCGAGAAGTCACGACCAACGCCATCAACTCGGTGACCGGAAATCGGTCACCATTCTCCATGAACAGCAACAAGTCAAGCTGTAATTAAACCTCGTTGGTCGACCATGAAAATGCCATTTCATTTCACTGCCACCAAGTTTATCGAACTTTTTCAAGCATCCTGAACTTCTACAACAGACACATCGCAAGACAGACACAATCAATAACCATTAGCGCAGAAGAGGCTTACAACTCTATACCCTTTGCAGGATAATTACTTTTCTTGACTTACCGAGGAGCACATCTGATTTCCAAGCTACCCTGCTCCCAATGTACACTACATTTAGATAGTGGTTCCAAATTATTCCTGCTTTGAAAGATTTACTATTGTAATATTATCACTGAACATTGTTTCGTGAAATTTATATTACAGTTAACTTGAAATTACAAACGCATCTTCTTCGCTGAGAGTTTTGAGTATAGATGAATGTGCTTACTGGCTATGTGGGTTCGTAAACATTATGAGAGTGGCCGTGTTTTACTGTACTCTATTCATTTCATTTTACCAGGCAAGGCCCACCGAGCTATGTAGCTCTTTTTCAGAAGCGACCTGGCCACAAATGATAGCTCAACGAAGTGGGTTCATCACGTGGAAATTCAAAGCAGCCAAATACTCTAATCACATGTTATAAATGTGGAGGGAAAGTCTGGAGGACCCAGAGAAAAATCCACTTGACCACGGGGATAACATGCAAACTCCAAACATACAGCAGGCATCAGGGTTGGAATCGAACCCATGTCCTCCTGCATACCAGGCGAGATGTTAACTATCTCGCTTGGTATACATTTAGAAACACGCGTTTCGAGTATTTGGCTGCTGTAATCGTCCACATAAGGCCACTTCATCGGCGCGATCATTTGTGACCAGGTTGCTTCTAAAAAAGAGCTACATAGCTCAGTGGGCCTTACCTGGTAAAATGTTAAATAGTTGAGTAAAAATAGTGGTAAAGATGCGGCACCTGGGTGCATGGAGGAAGTGATCTCGAAGCGGAACTGCAGCTGGCCGCTCACGTGGTCGGTGGGCATCCTTCGCGTCAGATTGTAGCTCAGCACCTGATCACTGCAAAGACAAAGACCCCCACCGCCCCCCCGCAGAGTTTTAAACAACTGTTGGGGCAAGGGTTGTTAGCGAGCACCTATGAAGGCCGGCATGGCACACGAGGGGGTGGGTGGCCAGCACCACGACCGACCTCCTTTGTCTCCCCAGTGGCGATGTTTACACACCGTACGAGGTACTCATTTGAGGCTGAGTCGAGCTAGGGGAGGCCCAGAATCGGTTCAGACAAAAAGAAGCCCAGCTGTTGGTGGTCGACTTCATCTTCAGGGTTTTGTACAATGGGGGATTCTGGAACCGGAGCCCTGACAGTAACCGTGTCTCCCCAGTGCTTGCCCAGACAACGTGTGCCAGTAACAACAGGCGCAAGCCAATCATTGCGAGTGACGAATTAATGTAAGCAGCGTGATAATCACGGGGCGTGTAACGTGTCAACATCACGCAAATGACAGACGCGTCAAATTGTACGCATGATAATATAATCCGTTAGTGCTGATACGGAAATGTTGCACAAAAATGTTTCCTACAGGCTGGGGCAGTAGTTCTCAACCAGGGTTCGTGGACCCCTGGGGTATGTGGCCATGTACGTGAGGTGATTTACCTGTCAAATTATATCATACACGAGAGTCATTGCCGAATAATCACGTATGAATCTGCCAATAAAAATGGACGACGATAACATTTTAATCCAAATGGTAACCTAGAACGACGTAAAAGGCCTGTAGCTTCCAAGAATAATATAAACCAGCGAGTGTGAACAAATTACGCTGCGCATGCAGAGCGTCCGTCGATTTTTTTGATTCGCTTGCATTTTACTAGCTCGTTAGGATACCTCACAAAATGGACAAGTGGTTGAAAATTGATGTGAATTATTCATACATTTATTTCTCAGAACCACGTTGGGTCAGGCAAGGGGGGTAAACTCGCTTGAAACGAAATTCAACAAGGGGTGTAACAGTAGCCAAAAATAGGTTGAGAACCACTGGGCTGGGGGTCAGAGGATGAATGACCCGGAGAAACAGTGCCGGCACAAGCGAGACACGCAGTGAGGCTGAGACGGAGACACCGCTGGCGAGACGTCAACGGGAGCGAAGGAATTGTGGGAGCGTCACAAGTCGGAGACGTCGTTCGAAGAGGCAGAACAAGACAGTGGAAAGGAGGCCAAAAGGAATTGTTTCAAGAATTGTTTCAAGAATCAAAATCATGACACCTGAATCTGACAATCCATCAAACTGTACAGAGGTGAATAATAAACATTAAAGCGGGGTAAATGAACCTCATGGCGGGACCCCGGGGTCCCATAAGCCCCCGGCTCTCGCATAAACATCATATTTTAATCTAAACAAACACTTTGCTCTTTTTCACTTGAAGGATGGTGGTAAGTGTTGTCTTGTTAAACTATGCCTTTAAAACTGAAAACTACTTACCTGCAGTACCTCTATTTAAATACACTATCGAAAACAAATGTACACCCCTCTGTCAATCATCGTGCATCTCAGTGTGGATTTGTGAACACACTTTGTAAACAGTACATAAAATAGTACGCGTTTTTAATGCGCTGTTGATATTGTAACAAGCGTTCACACCAATGTTACTCTACAGAGTCGTGGGTGGCCGCTCCTCTTATCCGCATTGATACGAGCGGTATGTGGGGACTATGGCTTAACTGCAAAAAAAAAACCTATCTGCACAGATGCATACGGACAAGAGAAGTACTATCGAACAGGAGGAATTAACGGTGCAACGCATCTCATCTGTTAAATATCTGCAGGATTGTCATCGATTGATCCTGGCTGCAGACATTGGTAGGTCACAAATAATAATGAATATAAGAGAGCAGTTTCACTGTATTATTTATACCGTTAGGACAAATAAAGGACTTAAGTCGTGTAGGCAGTTTGAGCAGCTTTGGATAAGACTTATGATCCTGCCCATACGCGAGCATGGAGTGCAGCATTCGCTTGTTCAGCTCTTGTGCGCTGCGCTTGGACGACATGACAACAGAATGATCCATTTCTTCGGGACACCGGGATCCCGCCATGAGGTTCATATATACCTTGGGGAATGCAGCATTGAAACACCAAACCCCAGCAAACAATTTGGTGTTACTATGCCATATTCCACAAATAATAATAATCAGTTCAATTTATAAAGCGGCCTAAAACAATTGTTCTCAGGGCGCTCTGCAAGGAAAGGCCGAAATAGTTTAACATCAACCGAGGAAAGAGGAAGTGGGAAAGGCGGTTTGGAAATAACTAAAGAGAGAGAAAGCCATTTTAAACAGACGGGTTTTAGTGGAGTCGTGACCTCGAAAGGTAACGCGTTCCAGAGTTCAGGTGATGCCGTTGCAAAGGCGCCGTCATCACCCCAAGTGTGCAGCCTAGACCATGGGACAGTGAGCAATGCACAATCTGAGGATCTCAATGATCTTGATGGAATATTCGTGGCTGAAGGAGGTCCTGAATGTAGGGAGGAGCAAGTCCATTTAAGGCCTTGAATACCAGCAAGAGAATCCTAAAATCAATATGGATACGGACAGGGGGCCAGTGATGGGTCAGGAGCACAGGTGTGATCCTTAAATGAATCGTTACATACACAAGCATGAGTCCTACATATAAATGCTTTTCTAGGCTTGCTTAAGAGAAGAGTTAATCAATTTCAATAAGCTCTCTCTATCGTAGCAATGACTTTAAGACACTGAATATTTCTACCTCTCTGGCCTCTCTATGCGCCGTGAAGAACGGCCACTGTCTGAAACGTCACCTGTTATATACTTTCTCTTGTTAAGGCCGCACAATGTCACTGACAAATGCGTTGAGCTTCCTTGATGTTACTTGTGCTTTTGCACCACTGCCAACGCAGCAGTAGCAGCGGCGTCAACAAATAATTGAACACTGAATAGCCGACCACAAATGTCACCATTGCAAATGCGACCGGTCTCCTAGCGATTGAGAGCTTAGTTCGAGGGAGAAGACGGCTGTCACTTTGTGGACACGTCGCCCCGTCTTGACGCGCAAACTCCTGGAGAAAATGTATCTCACTTCAGTTGGCGGTCGACGTTCGAAGCGCACTGCGACCCTCGCAGGAATGGTGCCGCCCCCCCCCTCCCCATGACACGTGGATCAAACAAATCACTGGAGACGCCGGTGTATGGCAGCAAAAGAAGTTTCTGTGAACGCTGTCGCAAGAGGTCATACTTTTGGTACAACGGTCCTTTGCTGGCTGTGTGTGACGAATGACCGACGAGCACTCGGCAGCAGCAAGTGCGTGGCGCTGCGAGTACCCGATGGCGTGTCTCTCGAGCAGCCTCTGCACAGGGATGCCCAGTTTGCCGAGGAAGCGACGGATGATGGGTCGGCTCTTGGCAAACTTGTCCTTCACCTCAATCTCCAGCATGTCCGTGGGAAGAGCCACGAAGCTGTAACCCTGCAGCGGGATGCGGACACGCAGAGAGACACGTGGGGGGGAGGGGGGCAGCATTACACAAGCACCTCTGTGTAGCATGGTTGGCTACGTACAGTGCAAAAGAAGTGGAATGTACATACATGCCCTTTCCATGAGAAAAAGGTGCAAACATGAGTAAACGCGGATGCCGATTGGCAGCGGATTCCAACTTTTGGAAAGGAAACAAACTCCCACAATCCTCGATGGCAAAATTCTACCAAGGACCGAACAATACAGGAGAATACATGTTCTTGGTTCTTTCGGTAAAGTCCCGTAGAAGGGAAATAATAAAATAATAAAAATATAAAACAATAAAATTATCACGACGTTTCGACTGCAACACAACCAGGAATATAAATCCCTGCAGTCACGAAAGCTTTAAATAAAAAAATACAGAAGTACAAACATTACAATTTAGATGGAGAGACTGCCATGTTAGCAACCACATCTTAAGAGCCATCATTGCGCCAGCATCAGAATTGTAGAGCATTCTCAAAACCACGATAACCACCTCTTTCATGCAAAGACTAAGATCTCTCAGTTGGTCCTCCACAGGCTGAGGAGACCGAATCGTATCGTGAACACAAAGGGTGGTAGGGTACACTCGAGGGGTGCGTGGTCAGCCCCACGGTCGACAGCCTTCGTCTCGTCAGCGCTGACATTCACACAACAGCGAGGCCACCCCACAGATACCCGGGCCAAGTTCATGTTCCAATTGCTACTGGTTTTATGCGTGAGCAGGAGTCTAACCCAGGTAGCCAGGGTCGTATCCACAGCTCCCTTTCGTATACGTACAATCACGCACACTGATTGTATATGGCTAACCCCAGCAGAATGCCTGGCTGTGCGATATGAAACTTAACGTATGGAACTTTAATGTGATTTTTGGGTTCGGATTTAACAAAGCGCACCACGAGTGGTAAAGCGGATGTTGCAGACTAAGGTCACAATGCTACTTACCCACGACTAAGTTGCGAGAAAATAATTACTCTACGTAACGAAAACACGAAAGCCAGCATCAAAAAACATATCTAACAAGTGTCACGGGACTCTCATCTGGTAATTTAATTTCATATTCTTTATATTTAAGAAATGTTTGAAAATTAGCAAATGAAAAATACATAAATAAACAAAGCAACAATGAAGCGATCGGAATATTTATTTAAATTCATATGCAGCTATAATTTCGATCCACCCCGCCCCGACTGTCCTACATGCACTCGGGTATCGCCAGGGCACTCCCGCCTGGAATGGGAGAGGCCCACACGTTCACAGAACGCACAACGCAGCCATACGCAGGCGCGCCACATGGGACACACAAACGCATGAGAGCGGATGACTACTAAGAGGTATAAGTACTCTGAGCGTATATACACAGCAGCGCATGCATATGGAAACGTAATAATCATGATAAATCCTCGCCAGGGTAGTTTTAGCGAGCAGAAAATGCCTACAGCAAGCTGCAGGAAGCGCTTTGACGTAACAGAGTTGTGGTGCCTGGGGTCAAGTCAGAAGTCAGCACGAGAGGACCCGAGATCACAGAACCTCCTTTTCATACAGACACAATAACCCCAAATAAGATGTGGCATACAAACACAAACCGTACATGTGCACAAGTGACAAGACACTGTCTTCATTCTGGCAGACAGAGTCTATACTTTGGCTCCCATCAATTCTGCAGACCAAGATTTGCCATGAAGCCTCGGTAATACAGGCACAGCCGGGTCATGATGCCAACCGCGGAGAGCCAGTGCCCAGTCAGGACCACTCAAATCACTTCTGAGCGTCACGAGTCTTGTCACTCGATCACAGCTTTAACAGTCAATCGGGCATGACACACACGTCTGTGTAGTAGCGTCTTGGCAGGATTTGGTGGGCTGCTGTGCAGGGGTGTGGTGGTGTGGTAAGTCGGCCAGCATTGCGGTGGTGTGGTGACTCACTGTGCAGCAGTGTGGAGTTGTGGTGGGCTGGCAAGCATGGTGGTAGTGTGGTGGCATGTTCGAACACTGCTAACATTTCCCGGCAATAGAACCTCACGTGAGCGCGGGCAAGAGGAGGCTCTGCCGTGTGGGGGTTCCGCGCAACGTTGGCACACGGCGTCGCGGTGGCGAGTGGGCGCAGGAAGAAGGGCGGGGGGGGGGGGCGGGGATGATGGGGGGGTACCTCGCCCTGCCACGCGGGGTTGGTGGTGTTGGTGACGATGCCGGAGCGGCGCTCCTGGCCGTGGTGTGGCAGTGTGGGGAAGGTGCTGCGCTTGCCGGGGTGGATCGAGATCTTGAGGTACGGGTCCGGGTTAAAGAACATCCCTTTCTTGAGCGCCGTCGCACGCAGCTCTGTCGCAAGTGGTCAGCGCGCACGCAATCGGGCCGTGTGAGTAAAGACTATTCAAGTGCTTAAATGTGTTGGGCAATTCATCGTCGGCATTCAGCACCGTGCCGCCCAGAGGTTCCTACCGGAGAGGGAGAAGCTGATGAGCCGACGCGTGTGCTGGCCTGGCTCATCGTCCTCGCTCGTCCCATCCAGGCTGGCCTGCTCGGCACCACCGCACACACACCAAAGACAAAGATCACCCCCGTATGGACAGAACAGGGTCAGCACACATACCGCATACATGCCGCACATGCACACACACACCACACAAGCCGCACGTGCCCACCACCAGCTCAGCACACGGCTCACACGCACGTGCACGTATAGCCAGAGAGGCCTTGGTCTCAGAGGTCAAGCGTCGTCATTAACGTGACATTCGATTCCCAGATGGTCAGAGTCATTTGCATTTAAGTTCACATGCCGTGTTGGGGGGGCTCAGGAAAGGGCCCACACCTCCGATTAGTACGGTTGGCTACGTACGGTGCGTAAGAAGTTCAACGTACGTACGTACATTCAAGGACGTGGTGCAAGCAGTAGAGGGGGTGCACCGGGCCGCGCCGCTCACCGTAGGGTTGGGATTGCGGACGGTGATGCACGGGGTGACCGCGCGCAGCGCCCCGCTCACTCCGTGGTAATACTTGAAGCAGATCTTGGTCTCCGCTTTGTATGAAAAACGAACGAACGAGAGAGAGAGAGACCCGCGTCGTCAGTGGCTCGCGTCCCGAGGCGGCAGGGGGAACGTGGAGCGGTCGGCGCGCAAACACGGGCCGCGCGGAACGAGGCAACCGGGTGCCATTCGGATTGACGCCCTCATGAATCCTATTCGCATTCGAATTACCACCTTCCGTTAGAAAGGCGACGTGTATCGTGGTCGCGATAGTTTATCATTTACACCTCGTCTAACGTGCACTTCACGCGGAGTTGCCGCAACAAAGGGGTATTTGACAAAATAACATGGGAATCAACATCAGAAGGTGATAATTGTTATTAACACCCGGATACGAACAAACACGCACAGAGGGCCTCCGTCCATGAGGAACAGTACAAGCCAAAGGCATGGCAAACAAGAGAACACCCTCTACAGCGGGGCATGCGGGAGGGAGGCAGTCACCCCACCAGAGAAAGTACGTTTAATGTGTATATTTTTTTAAATAGATATGAATGTAGGCCCCAATACAAAATAAAGCTTGAAATCTCAGGGACGCCGCCTTTGGAAATGTTATAGATCTGCCTCAGATCCTCTACAGCCACGAAGCCCCTTTTTAAGGAGGCCCTGCAACTTGTAAGAAGGCGTTTCTGCATAACAGCTCTCGGCACAATCATTCGAGTAAAGCAGTAGTGAAAGACTGCACTGATGTTCCCCTGACAATGTTTGAACTTGTATCACATTATTTGGCACAGTGTTTGGCCAATTCGATGTTGAGGACAGCTGGCAGTTGTGGAAAGAAACCAGAAAAGCCATTAAAAAAACTCACGCACATGAGCGGAAACACTCAAAGGTGTGCACAGACATGTTCACGAACCCACTTGCTGTACTGCACTATCCTGGCCCCACCTCATCACAGGCCATTTGGTTTGGGAGTTTTGCAAGTCTGCATCAAACCCCAACCTTTGCCTCTCAAGAGCCGCGGTGCACGCTGAGATGTCTCTCTCGAACTCATCTTCAACTCCTCCTTCATTGTGTTTCATAAGCTGCACATATTGTATTCATCTTCTTGGTTCTTTCGGTAAAGTCACGTAGTAGGGAAGTAATGCAATAATAAAAATAAAACATAATAAAACAATTCTCACGACGGTTTTGGCCACAACGCAAGCAGCCGTCCTCAGGTGAAGAATATGTCTGTCGATAAGACAGAGTCTGAATGACACGTCTTAGGCTTGGAGCGTCTATTTGTCAAGGCGCTCTTCCTCCTCCCTCCCAGCTTAAATAGACGCTCCAAGCCTAGGACGTGTCATTCAGACTCTGTCTTATCGACAGACATGTTCTTCACCTGAGGACGGCTGCTTGTGTTGTGGCCGAAACGTCGTGAGAATTGTTTTATTATGTTTTATTTTTATTATTTTATTACTTCCCTACTACGTGACTTTACCGAAAGAACCAAGAAGATGAATCCCTGCAGTCACGAAAGCTTTAAATCGAGATTGCATTCAAGCAAGAGGCTTTCGAGATGCATAAACTCGTGGGCATCAGTGAATATTTTCCTTTCCCCACTGTAGCGCAAGGAGGGGGGAGCTTTGAACAGATCCCGCTGGTCAAGGCTGCCTCCCCCACCCCAAACAAGGAATGCCGCAGTGTGACGCTGACAACAGGCGTTGCTTCAGACGGAGATAACGCAGTGGGGGTGAAGCAGAGGGATGGGTCACTGTTAATTAAAACCACACTCGTAGGCTGCAAACCCACAATAACTGGTTTACGATTGATTTTTAGCCTCGGCCACGTAATGATGAGAGCAAATGTGTGTCAATTATTGATTCGTAAAATTGGGTGCTAAAGCCCACGTGTTAAGTCCTCATTTTCTGGGTCTGTGTCATGGCCTACTGTCAAAGGTTGGATCCAAAAACACAATATTTGGCACAAACGCTGTGCAGAGGTCACACATCATTAAGTGATGAATGGCAGTTATTGTAAACACACACCATGCAATGTTCACCCTCACCCATGTATCAAAAGTAAAATTTTAATGTGCAATTTTATTGACGGACTGTGTATTTTCTTGGTGTAGTCTGGGACTGTTCTTGCTGTAGTTTTGCTGCCTTGACCAAGCTTAGGAATTGGCGTACTTATGCAATTTTAACTGACATACTTAATCTATTTCACGCATTTATTTTTAGTGATTTGTTGTTGTAACTTTCTGACCCACCCCGACAACTCTGAAAAAGAGCTGCATAGCTCATCGGATTTCTCCAGGATTAATAAAGATTTTGATAATAAAGATTCTGGTTCTGATTAAACATGTAACAAAGCATACCTGTCAACCCATACGATTTACCCGTATTCTTGTACAGGGAAATTGAGTTTTCAGGTCCATACGGCGTACAGCCGTTTCAATACGGGCAAAACAAAATCAACATGAGTTGGTGCATCCACATATCAAGCAAGCAGCAGCTTCAGCGTGCAAGATCACAGACAATTAGCATCATTGACACCAATTATCAAAATAAATACATAAAACAGTTTTTGTCCAGTAACATAATTTGTTACTGCCTATTTGTTTGTGTTTTCCCCTTGTGATGGGACTTTGTAGGTTGAACGTTGAGATGTATAAGGGCACTGGGTGACCAATAAGGTCTGAATTGGTCAGTAATAAGGTAGGCAATGATTAGGGTATGATAATGTTAATATTTGTCCATACAGAATGATGTTTCACTGATAAAGCCACTTCAAAAAAAACTCTACAGAGAGGCCCGTGTTCTATTTTTAATGTGCCTATGGGCTCAGAGGAGAATGAGATATCAGATGGAGATGTTCAGCAGCGGGTGCCTACAATGGACGACGATGACCACGGAGAAGCTAGTTCTGGATGAGAACATTTTAAGAAGTTTAACAAGGTTCTCAGAAGTTAATTTAAGGCCCTATTTCTCACAGGAAAAGTTGATATTAAACGAATAAATCAACATAAAAACTAATTCGGCATGAAAGTATCAACACCTACACAGCATTGTATGTCACGCGTTATCTATGTGAACAATACATATATTGCTAAATACATATTTATCTTCACCTCCATTCGCCTCACCATCATTGACCTGACCCCCACCGATCTCCTCACCACGACTTCGTCATCCCTCTTTGTTGGGGTCTCCTGCCCTCATGCCTCCTCAACACCACCGTCGCTGCCACTTCTTCCCTCGGCCTACCCCTTACTCCGCGTTTCAGCCGACCACCGCCCTCTGTGCGCCATTAGGCCTTGCCTGCCTGCTCCACGCACTCCACTGCATCGGCCCCATCAGGCTCATCGGCACAGCGCCCGTCCCATACGCTGCTGGCCTCATGAGTATTGCAGGATGCACTGGGACCCTCACTGGGACTACACTGGGACCCTCACTGGGACAAATCCCTTCATGGTCTTGCCCCACGATATCATGCCAGGCTTGTATGTTTTCTACGTGCCTTCTCGCCCTCTACGTTCACAGTCTTGGGCTGTCTCTCTCTCTCTCTCTTCCTCCTTCTCCTCGCGCTCAATCCACGCTGTCACTCTTTTTCTCTCTTCTCGTCCCCCTTCACTGGAACAAACTTCCCACTCCACATTAAACGGTCACCTTCGCTCACCGGTTTCCGCTCCTCACTCAAAACTCACTGATTGTTCCCAAGCTCACCCCACGACCCCTTAATCTTTCCCTCATAACTGCCACCGTTACTTTTCCCTCCTCGTATTCTCATTATATGGCTATCACTCATTCACCATTTATTAAATCCATTCATCATTATTCACCGTCATCAATTTCACTTTCACCGAATTCGCGCATCACAGATTCGCCTATTGCTTTCTCTCATCTATTTTATTCACAATTTCATCTCCACAAGTACATTCATATATATAATTCTGTGTAAAGCGCTTTAGATAAGGTGCAAAACCAAAGGGACCCTCACTCAGACTATGCTGGGATCCTCGTTGGGACTGCGCTGGGAATCCTTGAACCTGGGAATCGTTGAACCTGGGCCGTGCCGTGGCATCCTCTTCCCACAGTTTCTTCTCTTACTTGTGACCCTGACCTCAACCACCCCCCACTGCCATCTTCCCCCTGAATGTTGCCCCTCACTTATGAAGAACATCTTGATATGCCCAGAGCATTTAGATGCCAAAGAAATTCAAATGCATAACTGTAACGATGTGGGGGCTGCCCCATGCAAGGTGGAACAGCAGCCGTGGCGGTTGGGGCACTCACACTCGGTGAAGTACGGCCGTGGCTCGATGCGCCACACGATCTGGCCCTTCTGGGTGCCATTCACTCCGCGGTTCTTCGAGTCCCAGAAGTTGCCCGGAGAAGTTTCGTCTGCAGTCACACAAACACAAAAAGACAAAAATGCCCCGTAAAGCCTCAACAGCCTGTAGGGGCAAGTGTTGTTAGCGAGTACCTATGAAGGCCGGAACGGCACACGAAGGGGTGGGTGGCCAGCACCACGCTCAACTGCCTTTGTCTGCCCAGCGGCGATGTTTACACACCGCACCAGGTACTCATTGGAGGCCGATACGACCTAGGGGAGGCCCAGGACTGGTTCAAATAATCGTCACTGGTGTTGGCCGTGAGCGGGAATCGAACCCGGATCACCAGTTTCATAGCGCAGCGCGCTAACCGCTACACTATCACTCCCCAATATATAGAGACACACAGAGAGACACGCCAAAACAGGTGGGCACAAGTGCACGCAGAGCTGACATCCTGAAAACGAATTGGCACGACTTTAAACAAAACACACAATGTACTTGGTATTGGCCAAACATCACAAATATTTTTAAAAAATTACCTGCAAACTATTAAAGTGCGATTACATTCCAGCAGGGACCTGCCCTGAAACACTGCAGTCTTGAGACACTGTGAGGCTTTCCTTAATTGGTGGCCAAATGTCCCCAATACAGGACCTACGTGAAAAGGAGTCCTCAGACTCCCGTGAGAGGGTGCTGGGCGAAGTGCATGGACGATCTGGAAGAGTTCAGTTGGCAACCAACAGGCTACAATAACCAATACATTTCGATGTACAGCAGAAGCCCTCTTCACGACGGTAATTGATTCCACATGTTAAAGGTTTCATTATTTCCGAGAGCATCGAAAGTTCCCCTTTTTCAACCAAAAAACACGCTTTGTAATATTTAAACAATGGATATTAGTACATAAAGATACTAACAACATTATAAACACATAATATTAAAATAAACATGGTTAATCAATGAATTAATTAATATTTACTGTACCTACAACACACTGGGCTCTATGTAGTCCAGTCGTGAAGCGATTAGTGGTTAACAGGGGTGGTCGTTAAGAGGGGTTCTACTCTAATTGTTTACCTCCTTGTACTTTTGCACATGGGTTTCCTTTGAAACCAAGAGACTTGAACCAGCGCAAGTTCAAATCCTGCTACTGAGAATCAGAATCCGGATTTAAAGTGGAGGAATCCGATGAAGCTATGAAGCTCTGTTTTTCACGGATGTCCAGTAGGGGCACGGAGTCAGAAGGTTACAACCTGGTAAAGTGCAACTCGGTCCATCAGCAGCACAGCGTCAGTAAACAGAGGTTTGGTTGTTGCATGAACGTGTTCCCATGCCGTAGGTTTGTGGAAATGATGTCAAGTGGGTCAGGGTTGCTCAGTAAAGACGAGTCCCATCCATTGCTCAAAACAGGTCGCGACATAACTTTGACCTTTTCACTTTCCTTCGGAAAATGAAATGGCCCCGGTTTCTGGGGAGAATGCTGTGAAGGCAATAAGCTGGCGATAAATACGTCAATGTCAAGGGTCCTTTCCAAACGTGATTTTCACAATCAATATGAAGTCATTTAAGGCTGCGAATGCGAGGACAATGAAAATAACTCGAGTGTCGTTGGAAGAGCGGAGGTTTGGAGATTTAAAATAAACACATTTCCGGTTAACGACCACGACTGACGGTGGTGTTTTTAACAACAGCAACAACAACAACAAAAGCCAATAAAAATGGTTTCTGCAAAAATACTCCGGGATGTTTTCTGAATGGACTGTGAACAACACACTCACTGTGGACTTCCCAGCACATTCCCGCTGTGCCCTATAAAGCTCTCTGGATATGGGGAAAGAGCAATGATTTAGAACACACACAGCAGTGCCTGTACCCTGCAGCCAGCCCGTCCTGTGTTGTATAACCCTGCAATCTGAATGGAAAAAGTTCTGGATAAAACAGCAACAAAAACTAAAAACACTTTACAGATACATGATAACATCATCACAAGACAATCGTCACGGAGCAATCGCAAAGATCAAACTGGCTCAGGACTTGCTCCGAACTCGGTACCTGTCACGAGCCCGTGCCGCGAACCCGTAGAGTATGTACGCAGGAGGTTTGTAACGATTTGCGGCCGGCCCCGCGGTTTTATCAATCGCCCACAAGCCGGGGATCGTAATTCAATTCAAGCATCGATTCCTTAATGCATCGCTCTGTCTCGTCTGCGCAGCCATCCTCTTTGTGCGTTTCTCATTCGTTGCGTTCATTATTCCAAAGGAAAACTTTGCACGTGTTAGCATCAGTGTAGTTGGAGATGATCCGTTCTTACACACACACACGATTTGACGCAAGTACGGCGAGCATAACAATATATTTTGTTCCATGAACAGAATAATCACCTCATGCTTCATACAGTGTGCAACTGTTGTTACCCCGTATGATTATTATTATTCCGCTTGCTCACCCAGAAAAGCCTCACTGAACCTCAAAACTCTATTTTCAGGAGGGTCCTGCCAAGACTTTGCTGTAGGTGGCGATGTTGCTACTGTGTGTGGTCCCAGATCCCAATGGAGCAATTTGCCGGTAATGCTGTGGCATTGTGACGTTTGGCTGAAACGAGTTATACAGTGTAAGTATATATTTTAGCTATGGGAGGAAACCATGGGAATCTCATGCAGACCAGGGGGAGAACATACAAACACCACACAGAAAGCCACCTGAGTTGGGATTCAATCCCAGAGCTTCTTGCTGCGAGCCACGGGTGTTACCCCTGCACCACGCTGGGCCCACAACGTCGTTAACAAATGCCTTTGGCTCCAGTATGAGCACAAGAAGCACAGTGTGTTGTTATTCTATAATCACACAACCCCCATTACATCTGTTCCGCAATGTCGCCTAAGGGACAACTGAATGATCTGCGTGTGTTTGCGTTGGGTGGATTGGTTGGGCACCCTTGCTCTAAGTAGTTAACGGCATTTTTATGACAAAGCTGCCCTGCGATAAAAAGGACCGTATTGCGGTGTTGTATGTGTCATCATGAATAAGGCATTTTATTCAGGAATACCACTGCATCATCTGGCACATCCTTCAACCCTTGAGCAGGAATTTTCTTAAGACAACGACCTATGTTACATGACAGTCTTGTTTATTTTTGCATTTTCAGAATCTGCAATTTACTTACGTCTGCACGTACCGAGTTGAAGAGTGGTGGCACTGCGTTTCACACACCACGCGATCACAAAAACCTGGTGACCCGAGTGAAATGCCCGCCTACGGAGAACAACACCGGTGTGCGAGTCACACCTTGGACTGGTCCTGGGCACCCCCTCCCCCCCTTCACCAACCAGCGTGGTGAAGTATGGCCAAACAACCCCCCGTGACCGACACGGCAGACGGTAGTGGATTCACAAAGGGCTGTAAGTGGGGGTTTAATTGCAGTTATCATGACCGGGATGAGACCATCAGCTCGCTACATCCGAGAGCCCAGTTTAACGACGGGCGGCTGCTCAGATTTAAACACGTGGTCTCAGTGGTGCCAGCTCTGTGCTCTCATCTATATTCATATTTTTAAAAGATATTTATATTTAAAGGTATTTATGTTTTTCCGAGTACAGTAGACCTCCGATTATCCACGCTCATGGCAGGGAGGACGGCCGCGGATAATTCAAAATCGCGAATAATCCAAAAAATATAAATTTTCCGCCGATAATCTGGTAAAAAAACACGAATACAAGTATATATTGAAACTCACAATATAAATGATTGGATAAATCACTCAAAATGAAGCAAAAGTGACGATTTTCATTGTTAATCTTTTGATTTAGAACGAATATTAATGATGGAGCGATCGATGCGCGTGCTCCGTAATAACACGTTCCTGCTTCAGCGCAGAAGACTCCATTCCACTAAGTGGATGATAGCAGAGCCACGCCAATCAACATCAATCAACCTCCCCCGACTGTTGTTAAGATATGCAACTACTGTACTGTAGAGGTGATCACGTGGATTTCGGATTAACCAGAGCGCATATTTGTTTGGTTTAAGCACGTGACTTTTAATAAACATTTCCAATAATAGCAACGTAAAACAGTTTTTAATTCATTAATTTGGGCTTGAATGAAAATCCATGCGTTATTAAAACATGTCCAAAATCTCAGTAGCGCAGTTAATCCGCAAATCGTATAAACCGCACGTGGATAATCGAGAATCTACTGTATAGTGCGATTGTAATCACAATGTAAATTGGAAAGAGTCGGTCGGTCATCGCCTGAACAGAAGAGGAACGTCTTAAAACCCTAAACTTGAACAGGGGCAGGGATTCAGCAGCTCGGTTTAACGGGAACAGAGACAATCAAACAACAGAGAAGAAGCAACCTCCGACTGAGCACCAGGTCCGTCGTTGGCTTTGACAGGAGGTGTTGCTCGCTCAAGTGGGAGTGCATGTGAAAGGAAAGTAGATTCAGATGAGAGGGGAGAGAGAGGTAGGGGCGGTTCCACAGAGGCTCTTGAAAACGGTGGGTGAGAGTCACCTGTGGATTACTTGAGACTGGACTCGGAGCCAGAGGAGGGATCCGAGGACTGGAGTGGTGACTCGTGTACGGGCACCGGTGATGAGCCAAGGAGAAACTTTGATCGACAAAAAAATTTAATCTGCGACTTCATTGCCTCCCTCCTCCCCCCACTATTTATTTGGTGATAATGCATTGAGCACAAATTACACAATAAACCTCATCATGCTCGCCAATAACACTTTGGCCTGAAAAGAAAAATTATATAACAGGCGACGTTTGAATGAACGCCATTGCCCAAAGAGTTGCCTATTATACACATTTACTTTTCAGGCCGAAGTGTTGTTGACGAACGTGTTGAGTTTTCCGAATAAGAGGAGTTATGTGCAGATAGCAATGCAATCCGTGCATTTATATGTCTTTGCAGTGACATAGAATGGGTCACTAGGGTGCTGGTTACTGGTAGAGAGCGGGATTATGGGTGTCGGGCAAGTGAAATGTGCCACTGGAGCGCGTCGCGCCGGTTGCTGGCAGAGGGTGGGAATCTGAGGACACAGCAGCCGGTCTGCCAGCAGGGCACGTGATAGGCCGGGATAAGGGATTTAGGGTAAAGGTGACAGAGGGGACACGTGGGGCAAAGCCCAGAACCTTCTGGTATGTTCCAGAAGGGGGCGTGGCCAAGGGCGGAGCCAGGCCACGCTGGGGAGGATAAAAGGAGGTCCCAACGCTGGGTCGGGGCTGTGGAATTAAACTCGTCGTCTACGCAAGTCTTCGTCCCCGTCTTCACCTCCTCGGTGTTGTGGGTCAGGCAGCGTGCCGGCCGTCCTGACCCGTGTGTAGTTATCCCCTGTGCCTGTGGAAGTGTAGAATAAACGTGTGTGCCTCCTACTTACTATTAGTGTCTCTGAAATGACTACTACACATTTATAAGGGGCACTCGGAGAAGTCGTTGAGACTCAGATTAAGAAGGTGTGTGTATATTTATTGGATGTGAGGTTCAAGCTTCATATCCATCCGCATACAATCACTTTTAACCAGGCACACAATGGTTTGAAATGCCATTGTAAAACTAACCTCGTTTTGCTGATTTCTTATGTTTAAAATGAGTTGATCCAATAATAACTTTGCAAACCAACTTGCTCCGACAGGCAAAATGTTGCCTTATTCGTCAAAAAAAACTTAAATTGTCACTCCGAGCGCACTTTTCTGTAATCTTCATTCAGTTCCTTTTTAATTGCCGTGTCACTTTTGACACCGCCTCCCCCGCACTCTGACATCAGCAGCGCGATGTCACTCGGGCGCGGGAAGCGAGCGGCGATTGGCAAGCGCTCTCAAAGTATATATTTTTTAAGTATTTATAATAAATATAATAACTACAAACTCGCAGTGTCACTCCGAGAACACTCTTCTACAATTTATGTTCAAAAAGTCCTCGATTAAAATGTCAAGAAGAATGGGTTACTCTCTGTGCCATGACTTAACATGAAGCAAATTGCTTCTTTTTCTTTTCAAATTTTACGGCTGTGTAAATTGAGCGTAATTATAGGGCTATGCCACCACTAGCACACTCCTTGTTCCAGAGGCTTGCGGTTCGCATTCAGCAGGCCACCCTAGTCATTAATATAAGTGTATTAACTGTAATGTACTATGCAATGTCTGCGTTTATATTAACTCCTGACGTCAATCTCAAAAGCGTAGACCATCGTGTGCCGGCGTTATGCTCCATGAACCACACATGACTCAACTGGGATTACAGAGCAGCAACATCTCCCCCTACTGTAAAACTACTGCAAACCGTGTCCGTGAAGTATTGTATGTATGTTGAACTTCTTTCACACCGTACATAGCCAGCCGTGCTAATCGGAAGTGCGGGGGAAGGACAACAAAGCATAGCGTCTTCTGCGTGATAGCATCTCACTGGTAAGATTGCAACTGGTAAGATGGACCCGTTGTAAAAGTTAATGCGAGGGGCACCACATCGCAGGGCTCACCGATGCTGTAGAGGCCGATCCAGTCGGTGGCGTCCACCTCCTCCTTGATGTCCCACGAGATGACGAGGGGCCTGGCCTGCCCCACCGAGTAGTCGCAGCTGCTCGCCGTGAGGCTGGAGCGCGAGTCGGAGCTCAGCAGGTCGGTGTCGCTGTTGGCACGGACCACGCCGCCGGAGCCCGGCTCGCCCAGGCCCGGGTGCAGCTCCCCCGGCGACAGGGGCCCCCCCGCGGCCAACGAGACGCCCGCACGGCCACCCTCGGGGGACAGGCCCCGCGGGCCATCCGACACGAGGCCCGCAGTGCTGCCACCTCCTGCGCAGAGTGCGGCAGTACCCGCGTGTCACAGCAGCAGCAGCAGCAGCAGCAATAATAATCATATCTATGGAACCCTTTGTGCCAGTCACTGCTCGACCCAACCTGTCACCATTTGGCATTCTCTGGTCTAACACCGGTGGGACAAATCCATAAAGGAGGCTGTCTCTGGTGTAGACCAATTAGTTTCAAGGACAATGCATACATCATTAAAGTATCTTTGTTTGCAGGTATTATCACAATCGTGTGTGGTTAATGCAGACGTGATGCCATGTGATCGGTATCTATTTGGTGTCTGAACATTTTAACGCCTGTATATTCTTGTCAGAAAGGGTATAAATAACATTTACATATTTAACCAGCAAAGCCACACTGAATTAAAGACTCTTTTTTTAAGAAGTGTCCTGCATTGGGATATTTGTCCAACACCAATGAAATTGTATGGGGGCTTTTTAGCAATGGGAAAAAAATTGCAGTACGTGGAAAAAAATCCCACGCAGAACGGGAGGAGAGAATATACACACTCCATGGAAAAAGGTGCTTGAGTCAAGAATCAAATCCAGGACGACCTTGCTCATGTGAGGTGCAAGTGTTACCACTGCGCCTTCAAACGAGTACACATTAGGAGGCATAGTGAATCGGGGAGCTAATGATGTGTCTAATGCCTCTTAAATGGGGGGGGGATTGAATTACAATTATAGCTGATTCTCAATAAATGAGGTGCAATCATGCCCTGATGCACGGGAGGACTGCAAGCGCTGAACAAAAACGTTGACGTAAACAATCTGGAAAATATGGAACAAAGGAAATCTGAGTGACAGTCTCAAGTCACGAAGCCAGACATCAGCAAGCAGACTGCTCCCAACGTGGGATGAGGATTGGCTGAATGAATCGATATCTCATTCTCCATTATCCACGCCACAGCGGCAATGCGAGCGAGCGGCGGTCGCTCTTGGTTGAAGGCGATGTACCTTAACAGAGCAGCAGGTTATAGTCATATTCAATAGCTGCCTGTCAAGCACAACTGCTGCTGCCCGGTCATGACAAAAGAACGTCGTCTCCTTGCACGCGCGCCCAGACGACGTTTCCCGTTTCATCGTCACTCTTGAATGACGCAGCTCGCGTCAGCAGGCGATGCAACGCGTCGGCTTGAGGCTGGCGGAATGTGACGTGCCTAAACAAAGTTGCAAAGCGTCGCCTCAGGACTGGGACAAGAAGAGTCAAGTTCAATTACGTGACCTTTCTTGACCTTGCCTGTTGAGCCCTCTCATCTCCTTGCTTAAGGGATAACTGGGCAGACGTGTAGTGAATGTAGATTTACAGTGGTGCATTCTCTTTGTGCGTCACTTAGTTGTGTAAACCACTAGCTGTACTACCCGGCTTTGCCCGGGACTTGGATCCACCACGCCCGGCCGCCTTTGTCTCCCCAGTGGCGATGTTCACACACCACACCAGTTACTCGTTTGAGGCTGAATCGACCTAGGGGAGGTCCACGACCAGTTAAAATAATCGTCACTGGTGGTGGCCGTGAGCGGGAATCAAACTCGGGTCACCGGGTTCGTAGCGCGGCGCGCTAACCACTACACTACAATGCGTTACGCTTCCACATGCGGGGGTCACGTGACTGTTTTGACGTCACAGCTCATTTGCCGTGCAAAAAATATATACGTTATTGAGCTCCCCCCCCCCGCCCCCAAAAGTGTATTTTTATCATTTTTGCATGGTGTACAGTCTGGAAAATATCCACATGGCAAATTTCCAGTTTGTTGCATGTCGGGAAGTACGCTAAACAGTTTGAACAACACACATATTCACAACTTTGCCTTTTACACATATGGAGATTATCATGCTTTGGACAGATCACGTGAGGCGAGCACGGAGAGGTCTCTACGTGTGGATGTTGTCACCGGTTCTCTACAGCGGACGGTGTTGCCTGTAAAAATAAATGTGTCGTTAAACTCGCCACCACCCGAGAGAGCCAATTAGTAAGATTTGTCACGTAAAAAAAACATGCCAATTATTTACTAGTCAAGCACACGGATGCGTTGGAGAGTAAACACACAACATTTCCAATTCGAATGCGACATTTCGTCGATAATTCCAACGAGCCTCATCAGGCCTCCGTGTTAAACCGTTGTTCCCCTTTCTACCCGGCGTTCCTCCACAACCACTTCCATGCCCAACTTAAAAGCAACTGCAACCCAAACAAAATTAACAAACAGCTCTTCTCTTGAGATGCGAACTTTGGCTGTGTGTACCCGCCTGTCTACGAGTCTGTAGCTTTGTTGATGAGGAAAAAAAGGAATTTAAAGTTACTATCTGACATTCCATTATAGTTCTTTATTGACATCACTGCCATACACTTTAAAACATCAATAGAGTCGAGTCACTGCAGCACTATAGGGCCGAGTTTAACCATAATTTTCTTTTTTTCCTCTCGAACAAGGCTTTATTATTATATCAGAGACAAAGATTTCCCGTATAGCCTTTAACAGACTGTTGAGGCAAGTGCTGTTAGCGAGTCCCTATGAAAGCCGGGACAGCACACGAGGGGATGGGTGGCCCACGTCTCGCCAGTGATGTTTGCACACCGCACCAGGTACTTATTTGAGGCTGAGTCGACCTAGGGGAGGCCCAACACCAGTTCAGATAAAAGCTTTGTTTTAAGGTTGTTTCTCACTTGCATTCAGGCCTCAATACAAGGGGCAATTTTAAATCTGCGTGTGGTTAATTATAAAGGTGTGGATGCTGTTGAGTGGCTGAATAAACCACCAAAGTTAATCTGCACAACTGGAAATGTAGTGTGGCGTGGATTGTGTGCGAAGGTAATTTAAATTGAAACTAAACTTTTTTTTATTTTACCAGATAAGGCGCACAAAGCTCTGTGGCCCTTTTTCAAAAGCGACCTGGCTACAAATGATAGCTCAACGAAGTGGCTTATCGTGTGGAAATTATAGCAGCCAAATACCCTAAACGCGTGTTTCTAAATGTGGAGAGAAAAGCCAGAGGACCCGGAGAAAAATCCACATGACCACGTGGAGAACGTGCAAAATTATAGAGCCATCATGGTCGGGATTAAACCCACGGCCTGCTTTATACCAGGTGAGGTAGTTAACATTTCGCCACCGTGGGAGCGGTGGTGGCATCATGGTCCAAATGTTCCCATTTATACAAACCCCCCCCCCCCCCCCCCACAATTTACTCACCTGGAATTGCACAGAATCTCTATCAGAATCTTTATGTACGAAATGATTATGAATTAATGTGAAGCTTTATTCAAAGATGTGGTATGAATTTGACTAAATTATTCACAAAGAATCAATCAGGCTGATATCACATGTGAATAGGGGCAGCAGGTTCAATTTATAGCCCACAATTAGACAATCCTTTGCCTCACAAGCTGTCCAAATACAGCATTACAGCACATTGCACTGCGAGCAATGTGACTCCACACGTAGTCTATACGATGTACGGTTGTAAGTTAGTTTCCAGTGCAATGCACGCCGTTAAATCACAATTGAGAACCGTCCAGCAAGGAAAACAGTGCACATACCGTGATGTCTGTTATCGTGGAAGCAATTTTGGCTGCGCCACAACAAACGGAACAGGTGATTATTTGTCTCGGAGGCAATCCTAGTTCACAGATTTGGCTGCCACTATCAACGTGGACTGGCTGCAGAACAGAGCTCTGATGAGTAACGCACACAGCGGAGTTCCCTCACTTGGGGGATGGAAATTTCCAATCGCTCCAACTGGCTGCGATGTGCAGTGCTTGCTGTTTCCTGAGAGCTGAATAGAAACTACAAATGGATGGACATGCGGACTGATGGAAACACTACTGCACCGCATTCTCCTGGCAAGCTAAGGTATGGCACATTGACGCCCACAAACCCCCTCGCCTCACGGTTTTGGATTATAGGCGTGTGCGCCACCACCCCATGGACTCCCGTGGCTAACAGAGACTGCTCTTCCTCGGGACACTGACCCACCATTGTAAAGACCGGGAACCAAGGGAGTGGCGTTGGCCTCTCTTAAAGACCCCGGGGGAAGGGGGGGGGGTCTTTAGGAGGCCATGCCATTGCTCCCCCCTATCACTGGAGGAGATGGGGAATTGTGAGCCTCCGTATCGATATTCCAAATTAAATCTCGTGATAATAAATTATCATTAAAAAAACCATCATGATGAGCATGTAACATAAAACAGTATAGCCTTGTAAATATGGTTTAAACAACTGAAGTTTACTCCTCATAGCTGTCCACACGAATGTAATTTAATTATATAAGACCACTCTACCCACACCATCAGGAGCCTGTTATTAAAATAAACACAAGGGGCTCTAGTCACGCTCAGCTGACATGAACAACGGACCGTGCACATTCCCCATGTCCCCCCCCCCCGCACATCTCTTACATGAGACTGTTACGCCATTCAGGGTGGCGTTCCAATGTTTGCGTTTGATCGTTTTGAGAGCAGTTTATTACGAGCAGGCACACCGTCCCCGTGACACGCGTGGCGACGCTGTGTGGACGCAACGCCTGCCAGTGCGGACAGCTCATGAAAAGCTAAGCAGGAACCCAAATTCAGCAGGTGATTTGTTTTCACTTTCAATCATCTAACTGTGGGAATCTTTGTAGGTCCAAAGATAAAATGAGCAAGTGTCCATTCTACATCATCCACAGAAAGCATTCATATGGTTAAAAGTGTGAATACAAAATAAATCATAACCTATTAAAACATCTTTAATACGCCAATGAATCGGCGAGTAAAATATTATAGATCCAGTACATTATCTCCAACCATGCGTAAAAATGAAATGGAACTATTTCAAATGTATTGGAAGCAGTTTCTGTGCCATGCATCCCTAGTTTTTACATCATTTATATTTGTGGCTGCTAATCAGTGATGCGATGCATTCGTAACATCACAAGGCCAGGTAATGTAGGCGCACACACACGCAAGGGAGCGCGTGTGTGCGCGCGTCTGTGAGCGTGCGTTCGTCTGCCAGCCATCTCAGTCAACCCACGGGACCTGGGGTCTGTCCCGTGACCTCCTGCCAGCAGCGAGCCTTCAACACTTTACGTGGCCTCAAAGCGCACCTAGCCTGGCACAAGCGCAGTGGTGAAGTCACAGCCGCTCAGTGGCGAACGGCGGATGTTGTCGCTGTTTTTGTTGTTGTGCGTCCGTGTGTGCATTACAGATGGCGCCCGCCAATGTGTCGCGCGTTAATTACCGGAAAGGCCACGCAGGCTCTCGGGGTTGAGGCTGTACCGGGCCTGCGAGTCGCACCGCCGGCGCCCGGCACACGACGGGTCCCTCGCCGACACGGCCATGTCGGGGGCTCTAGTCCGTGACAGGTTCTAATAAAAGAGAGAGCGCAGCGATGCCGCCGCCGTTAGCACGCTCAGACACGGCCGCCGACCGCAATGTTGCGTGTTGCGTACGGCCAACAAGGGGCGACGTTCCACACGCGTTTGAAGAGGAGGGCGAGCGTCGCTAGCGAGCGCCAGCCGAGGTCGGTGTGACTCACGAGGGGTGGCGTTGTCGGTCACGCGAGGGGTGGCGTTATCATCTCCCCAGCGCCATTGCTGACAACCCAGAACAGTGAAACACCTCTTATCCGCTCGCTAAAACCCGTCCCCCCGACTCCATCTACACCGACTTCACATATTTAAGCCAGAGCCCGGTGCCATGCAGTTCACAAACTTCTATTAATAATGATGAGTTTGTTGTCTTTCCCCCGCACCTCCGATGAGCACGTTTGACAATGTACGGTGCGGAAGAAGTTCTACACACATAACCTTTGCATTCATATGGCAAGCAAATGACTCAACAACTCAAAGTGCCTTACATTACATCATTTCAAACATTTGAAGGTCGGCCCCCACCCCCCCCAGTGGTAGCGGTCCCTGTGCAGCACAAAGTAACGCATCACCTGGCCCGCAAGCAGCCATCAGCGTACCAGTAGGGGGCGATGGTGGCTGCTGTGTCATCCCAATTGAGAAATTTGCGGTGTGATTTTTCGAACGTAGCAAATTTGGGGCCATGATGCCGGTACAAAATGCCCTACTATTTTCGAATGGCGTCACGGGATCTTTAACATCTCCTGTGAAGCGAACGGAGCGTGGTATTTAAGGTAAATAAACACGCAGTGTTAGCCAGGGCGGCCCTCCAGAATCGAACCCTCAAACCTCTGCAACAAGCGGCGAACGCGCTTCCGCCAGTTGACAGCGCAATCCAATTTTGGCAAAGCTACTTCCCGCTAACGCTTGACTTTGAAAAATATATCCACACAAATCTGTTGATTGAATATTCACGCGTTGCTGTTGGGAAGTCTTAACCTCGAGGGCCACAGGTTTTGGTGATAATTTTTTGGGGCACTTTAAGAGCCAGTGCACTCACCGTCTCGAAAAAAAATTTGCTTTGTATATTGTGATGCGTGTGCGGCATTCACGTGTAGAGATTCAATCACAACACCGAAAATAGTCGCCCGACGTTATGGGCACCACGGCGTGCATGACACAGACAGTCAGGAAGTGGTACTGGACGGGGCGGTAAGGGGATTTGTTAGAGGCAGCGAATTTAAATGATTGTGGAGGAGAAATACAACACGGAAAAAGAGTGAGACATGGAGGGTGATTGACAGGGTGGACCGTTGGAATCTATTAGGATAAGTGGAAGGTGATTGGCTGGAGGGAAAGGAGGTCAAGAAACCTTTGGGAAAGGGGCTTGAGGGATGTATAGAGAGGAAGCGAGGGCGTTCGTGACGCTTGGAGTCAAGGGAATCCTTTAAGACCGTGGCTCACGCTGGAAGAAATAACGACTCCTATTATTGAAGACTACCGTATCACGTGTCACTACACACGAAAATAGAAGTCAATAGAGCAAGTGGAGGTTAGATTCATTTATGCCGTTTCATTTTCTTCACAATTAAACTCAAGAGCCGAGGGGCTAAACAGCAGCAGGTTTTCAGCTGCCACACTGGCATCCGCTTCACTTAACGGGCACCCGTAGGGAGACGCGCACACAGACAGGGCCATCGTCGAATTTAAACCAGCAGCTATCAGCCCGTGGGCACCCCCCCCCCCCCTTCATGGGGGTGGTGCGGGCTGCGGAATGGTCACCGTGCAGGAGAAGTTTAAAACACGTGCGAGGAATGTCAGTGCCATGTTGTGGCGACAACATGCACCAATGCTAACACAACACACACCGATGCTAACAAAAAATACACCAATAGAAACACACCTAGACTAACACAACACACTCTAATACTAACACAAAACACACCAGTTCAAACACAAACACACCGATACTAACACATAACACAACCGATACATAATGTGAAACAAATGCCTTGTTGACAAACGCAAATGAATCGGTGAATAAATCAGAACAGACCCAACACATTATCTCAAACAATTGATAAAAATGCTATTAAAATATTCAAAATGTAGTATTGGAAGCAGTTTCTGTGCTACACACCCCTAGTTTTTCCATCATTTCGATTTGTCGCTGCCAATCAGTGATGCGATGCGCTCATGACATTACAAGCCCAGGAAATGTAGGCGCACGCACACACACACGGGGAGCGTGTGTGTGTGTGGGGAGCGGTAGTGTAGCGGTTAGCGTGCTGCACTAGTTCAAGTTCATTTCAAGTTAATTTCATTAGGTATAGCCCCGTGAGCCATTCGGCTCTTGAATCGGGTGCAACCGCAACAAAGAAAAAACAAAAACATGAACAAGAAAACATCTTAATATGACTATGTGCAAACAGAAAATCCAAGAAAAGACAGCAAAATATTGCACCAACGCTGTGTGCAAAAATCCCAGTGGGATGCAAGTCAAACAACAACAACCACAAGACAACTTAGATTAAAGCCATCAATCTAACTCTGTACTACAACAAACAAACAAAGCCAAACCAAAACATTTTTCGAAAATCACCAAAATAAAGCCATTAAAGCAATGAAACAGTGATCATAGGAACTGTGACCAAATTTTCACAATAAACGACGTAAACAACATGTACTAAAAGTGCATTTTTCAATGCACCTTTAAGATCAGCACACTAAATCAAAACACAGATCATACAACTGACGAACCGAGTTTGATTCCCACTTACGGCCAACACCAGTGACGATTATCTGAACGGTCCTGGGCCTCCCCTAGGTCTACTCAGCCTCAAATAAGTACCTGGTGCGGTGTGTAAACATCACCACCGGGGAGACAAAGGCAGCCGGGCGTGGTGTTGTCCACTCACCCCCTCGTGTGCCGTGCCAGCCTTCATAAGTGCTCGCTAACAGCACTTGCCCCAACAGTCTGTTCAGGCTATACGGGGGATCGTTGTCTTTGTTTCGTGAGCTTGTGTTCATCTGCCGGTCGTGCACAGGGACCAGTAGCTTAAAGCTCGAACACAAAAGATAATTACAATTAGCTGGCAAGAGGCCCTGCGAGTTGGCTGTAAACCCCACCGATCATGCGTGCGACTGTGTCATCGATTGGCTCAATGCACCATCTGAGCGCAGTGGGCTTGTATGCAGTGGGAAGGCCCGTCACTCGATGTCTTCATGCCGTGCATCGAACAGTGCAACCTTTACGTTGATTACTCGGCGAGCTTAACCCGGGAAAGTCTCACCGAGTCTCAAGACTCTTTTCACAAGGGTCCCGACACTTTTGGGAATATGGTGCCATGTTACTGCTGTGTGTAATAATATCATGTGGGACACTTGCAGGCAATTTCTCAGCATTGGGATATTTGGCCAATACAAGTTGCATTGTTATATATGTTTACATCTATGGGAAAAAAACCGGAGAATCCGGAGAAAACCTGTGCAGAAAAAGGTGTAAAATAGTAAAAAACCACGCAGAAATGTGTTCCAATTGGGAGTCGAACCCAGGCCCTTTTGTTATGAGGCACAAGTATTACCACTGTGCCACCACGCTGCCCAAGCAACATGTATCAGCAACGCGCTTAAAGTAACCGACAAATAGGTGGCATCCTACACCCAGGCAGGAAACTTGTCCTTAGCACGGTTGGCTACGTACGGTGCGAAAGAAATTTAACATACGTACATAAAAAAACATCAACCGCAAGGTTGCAACATTCACATTTGTCTTAGAGAACTAAACATAAAATGGTGAATAGTAGTGAAATTAATCATATATAAACTAAACTTACAAGCGAGCTAAGAAGACATGGCAGCGTGGCGCTGAGGCTCGCGCTACGATACATGTGTAAGCCTCCAGAGCTTTGTGCATGACAGACCCTTAAAGTGATGGACCTGTATTGGCATTCCTTCATCATCCCCGCAGTTGCGTGGCTGAGGGTGCTTTCACTCTGGTGCGAGACACCTAAAGCACAAATGGCGTCTCTGTACGTCGGTCCAACGGTGAGCACGCGGAGAGAACGAAGCAATTTAGACGCGTTGAGATGCCAACAAGCAGCAGGTGACTGGATGGATCAGGTTGACGGTCTCGTGTCGGTGCGACTGAAACGGCACTTCTGGGATCCTGTGGTGTGAATCTGGGAAGCCCCCTGTGATCACGCTGGGTTTTCAAGTGCAGAAACTCTCGTTCACAAGCCTATGAATTGCAACTCCTATGACCTGCAGGAGCTGCAGTGTCCGCGAAAACTCCAATTACCCCGCAGCCCTAAATATTCCTATCCGCGACTTCTCCCAAAAGTCAGTGTTGAACGGCTTCAAATTGCCCGCGATTTTTCAAGGATAACGTGTGGTTGCGCGGAAATACTTCCAATTACCCACGAGTGTCCACAAATATATTGCTCGCAAATACGTGGACTAAATTGGGAGATAACATTGCAGATATCAGGATCCATGACGGTTCCCCGTGTCACCGTTTCTCCTGTAATGTACAGAGATGTGATGTCCTCAGCAAGGTTTAAAAAAGAAAAATCCTATTCAGTTTGGGATTTCCCTTTAATTTGGACCATTCCAGAGTGAGAATAAGAGCGCTTTGGCTTGATTTCCACGCAACGAGCACTCCCTGCAGGGCACGTAACAGGGGTGGCCCCTATTGTGATTCAGACCTGTTTCTGTGACACGGGGTGATGCACAGACCAAACAATGCGAGAGAGTTCCAAACGGGAAGTTCTTCAGCTCTTGACAAGATTCAGATATCACAATTGGAATCATCACAATCAGCCACGATACTATCCTTCCTTAGCCGGCACCACCGTCTCTCACGATCCCACGAAGCAAACAATCCAAACAGCTTCTACACATAAACCGTTCTCATTGCTCCATCTCCACTGTGGACGTCCTCTCAGACACGTTTCATTTCTTGGCAATGGGAAACAAAAATGGTGAATAAATAAATAATGAGACCAAGATGATAAAAC